TTCAGAGCACGTATCGCGAATCATTTGATTTAGATCGGAACTTCACAGCACGTATCGACGTATCATGAATCATTTGATTTAGATCGGAACTTCAGAGCATGTATCGCGAATCATTTGATTTAGATCGGAACTTCAGAGCACGTATCGAGAATCATTTGATTTAGATTGGAACTTCAGAGCACGTATCGCGAATCATTTGATTTAGATCTGAACTTCAGAGCACGTATCGTGAATCATTTGATTTAGATCGGAACTTCAGAGCACGTATCATGAATCATTTGATTTAGATCGGAACTTCAGAGCACGTATCGTGAATCATTTGATTTAGATCGGAACTTCAGAGCACGTATCACGAATCAATTGATTCAGATCGGGATTCGGTGCGCATATCGCAAATCATTTGATTCAGATCGGGACTTCGGAGCGCGTATCATGAATCATTTCAATCAGATCGGAACTCGGAGGGGGTATCGCGATTCTTTTTTTCTGAATTTTTTTTTCTTTATTAAATAGTACAAAACATGAAACCATCAAGGCGGTACAAATATAAAAACAAAAGAAAGAAAAAAGAAAAGTATAGCTACACAAATAGCTAATCCCTTAAGAAAATTAACCATAGTTTCTATTATAGTAAAAGTGTAGTAACCTTTTGTTGTTGTTGTTGTAAAACCATGGTTAATTTTCGTAAGGGATGTGTTGCCAGGTTAACAAAAAAAAATGTTTTTCTCTATGTTAAATTTAGCTAGCAGGAAACACAAATTAACAGCAACTCACTTCAATGTCTGACTTATATAATAATTACATCCATAATCTTTTTTTTTTTAATTTGGAGTAACTAGTCTATTGTTTGACCTCTTCATATTTAAGTTGAGAACTAGGCCTACCTAGTTTCCAAAGTTGGATATCGCTTGTTATGATTTTCAAGGGTGCAGAATTTAGTAGGGATGCTAGGGACACGTCACTATATCCAGCGACTAAAAATGTGCAACACTTTACATTTTACTACCAATTATTTGTAATATCTAATAATTATTCATATTGAACTTACACTGGAAATGTTTGCGCAACCTCTAGCAAGATCTTTGCAAAAACTCTCAGAATTTATTTCCAGAACATGATGCATGATGGGATATGCTTATCCTCGAATAATGCTCTGAAGCAGATAGTGTGGATTTAGTGCGCGTTAACGGTACTGTGCTTTCGCGTTTTTAAGACCTGGGACAGTCCTGGGACGCCTACATCATATGCTTGAGCGCCTTGTCGTGAACGCACCTGCTTGAGCGACCGGAAGCTGGAGATTACAGTTTATACATTTTTAAAAATCTATATTTTTCTGACACTAACGCATCGTTTAGATTCAGAAGGCCTTTATTAAAACCCCGGATCCGTGTGGAGTAGTTTTATGATGGATGGATACATTTTTTCGGCTTCAAAAACAGGGGCACCATTCACTGCCATTATACAGCTTGGAAGAGCCAGGACAATTTTTAATATAACTCCGATTGAATTCGTCTGAAAGAGGAATGTCAGATACGCCTAAAATGCCCTGAGGGTGAGTAAATTATGGGCTAATTTCATTTTTGGGTGAACTATCCCTTTAACTGCATGGAGCTCTGCAACTGTGTAAACTAAGATAACTTGATATGTGACTGCTGTCATCAAATAAGGAGCTAACCAAAATGAAACAAAAAACTCACACTGTTTACACACTCAGCGGGAAGGAATTAGAAATTGTTTCATATT